GGAAATACCAATGGTGATACACTCACGGTCAGCTTTCAGTTTATCCAAGACCCAGGCATACTTGGAAGAGCCCTTGCCCATCTCAGCAGCATCCTTCTCAAATTTTTCAGTGGTCGTTTTGTTGATCCCAGCACACTTGTAGATCAGATGGCCAGTGGTAGCAATTTTGCCAGAATCTATGTGACCAGAGACAACGATGTTGATATGAGTCATTTCCTTTCCTGTTTTGACTCTGATTTAGTGGTGGTTTTCATGACACCTGTGTTCTGGTGGCAAGCCGCTGCGACAAAGCTACAGGTTTCTTTGACTCATTTGCTGGGAAACTATGATTTAAGATACCAGAATCATTTTTTTTTCTCATCAGCTAAAATTCATGTTTTAGCTATGGGCAAGTTTTCAGGGTCAATTTAAAACTATTATTCTCTGATAATATTTGGAAGCTGGGGGGAAGTCTAACCTTACATAAATAACTAGGATGAATCAACTTATAATCAAAAATAAATTTCTAAGCTCGTGGACTTTAAAGCTATCAAAAATACATCATTGTAGTATATTAATTTAGTTGTCTCATATGTTTAGCATTTAACTCTTGCACTGATCATTGTAATATCTAGACAACTACTGTAAATTGCACTTAGAAGAAAAATCTCCATTGTTGTTTTATTAATAATAATAGACAAGAACCCAATGGTATTTGGAAATTTAGGTTAAAACTTTTTTAAAATTTAGCTTTAAGCATGTTCACAAATCATTTGAACTTCTTTCTTAATGTTTTCTCTTAGAGTAGAAATAATTTTGTGATCTATATGTCCTGTTCAATGCTCATTACATTTATGGTTATTTGGACTTTCCCACACCCCTCCCCTTGGAAACAAAAATAAATTCTCATAGTTTGAATGTGTTACGGTGGCATAATAACAATTATATGATATAACCTGGAGCTTTGTTTGAAAAGTAACTTAAAATCAGTTTTTTGAGTTATTACTTTGAAAATAAGTTGTAGACTGATGTTTCTTGTGGTTCCAAGGAGGAATGTGCAATCCTGATTTATCAGATAATTCCATAGGGAATGATGTCTATTTTGACTTGTGATGTGTTTCTCATTACTGTGTCCTGTTTTCTTACTTTCCATTAAATGTTTATAAAAATCAGTTCAGTAGTTTTTCAGGAAAGTGAAATGAATTTCATGAGCCAATATCAGCTGTAAAAAAGTAGGAACATGTATAAAATACCTAAATTTTTCTTATCTCACTTTAAGCTTCATAATTTTCCAACTCAAGATGATATATATATTTTTGCACAGTGGGCTATATCCAACTAACTTTCTGTCACAGAAAACCAGAATAAAAATTATTTCAAAATTGTTCTTAGAAAGAAATAATGAACCTGAAATTAAAAAACAAAAGCCAAATAAATAAAATAATGTTGTATGGTCTTTATTCTTGACTTTATTTTTTGAGGTATGTATGCCTTGATTACATTAATTTATCTACTTCAACTGGTAACCATTTGGTAGCTGACTGAGAGCCTCTTTTCTATAGTAGCACTGCTTGGAAAGTATGTTCATTTTGGAGGAACTTTTAAACCATTTCCATAGTCCTTGACTATAGCCTCAGGAACTGGTAATTAGTGCCTAGGTCCCTGTTCCCCAGCAGGGGGCAGCACTGGGCCTGTCTTTCATTGCAGTTGACCGTGGTCTCCACCCTCCTTCATGATAAAGCACTTAAACTTAGTTTGGTAGTTCCTTTTTTTTTTTTTTTAAGGCTTAGAAAGTGTCCAGTAAATAGTAGCTGTTCAGGTTTTATGCTTCAAGGAATATTACTTGTCACTGTTGACTCTTCTGTGTTACCAGAATCTTGTCTTCAATGATGATTTGGTTTATCATTGCAAATATTTACCTTGTGTTTATTCTAACTTGGAAAATTGTAAGAGGAAAAAAAAACCTCAGCAGTTGCTGAGCACTGTGATGTGTCAGGCATGAAACTAGGTACTTCTCATATGCTGCTCCACAGTCTAGGAAAACAGCTAGGCAAGGCAACAATAGTGTCACACAAGGCAACAATAGTGTTACAAAACAATAGGAAGATACCACAGCGGAATCGAAAGCACTTTTATTTTGCTATTGAGCAACCAGAGGCTAGGAGTGGTTAAGTCACAGTAGAGCATCTGTTCCCTTCAGGCAGAATTCCAAATTCCATGCTGCATCAATTATGTTATCAGCCCTGCCATAAAACAGCAAAAAGGTTTGTGGAGAGTGACTGAAGCCACAGTGTGGAATGCCTGAGGCCCACTTCAGTGATGTAACTTCTGTGACATGGTGACAGGAGAATTTATGGTCAATGCACTTAAAATCTGAATCAGGAAATGGGGTTAAATGATATTTATATACACATATTACCGATACTACATTCACCAAAACATAGGAATATTGCAATATAGTTGATTTTTAAAAACTTATCAATAATATTTTATTTATCTTAAGAATGGATCATATTTTGTTTTTACTTACCTTCTGTTAACTGCTAGAAAATTTTCAGGATCTCTGTTCTCTGCAGTTTCAACAAGATACTAATTTGTTTTGTTTTGTTGTAGAAAAAAGGCAAATAAAGAACTCATTTTGCCTGGATCTATGATTTTTATTGCTTGAAATTGGTATTCTGCATTGTCTGCTTCCTTTTCTGGTTATCATATGCATAGCAAGCCAGATGGCTAATATATAAACAATTTGGGATATGCTGCTTTGAATTATTTGGTATAGCCTAGGAGGTGCCTGATCCCAAGACCATCTGTGTACTGCTCTGGGTGTTAACTTCATGCTGAAATGTGTTTTCAGTTTCTTCACGTCTTAGCTTCTACCTTCCATATGAATGCAGAAGAGGCTTCTTAGACCAAACTGAACCCATTGTACCTCTCCAGGTTCTATTGTAAAACTTTAATCATAGCCTGTGTTGCACTTCATTGTTCTTATTTATTCCTATTTTTTCTTGTTGTTCTCAACAGTAGTGCTTCAGAATTGCTGAAGAGTGACTAAGAACATGGGCTTTGTTGGAATCTTACTTGGCTATGTTTGTATCTGTTTGACCTTGGGCCAGTGTCTTCACCTTGGCTTCCTCATCTGTGAAATGGAAAATGATACCTACCTCATGCATTTGTAAAATGATTAAAACAGATAAAATAGAACTCATTTATAGTACTATACATGCTATATGATAGTGACATACCAGTCCCTACTCTTATTAACACATTTTAGAGAGAAAATTTTCATGGCTACAAAAAGACATGGTCAGATATAAATGCAAATAGCATGTATAGAATTTCATGCAAGGGTTTTTGAAAGGAATATGTTTTCCTTCAAATACCTGATTGTTTATGCAAAAGCACACACCACCAGAAAAGGGACGGAGAAGATACTATGTAGCTGGTTTAGGGTTCACTTTCAGTCCTTTTCACTGGATTCAGGGTGAAACTTTGGACCACAAATAGCTGGAGAATAGTTTCTGTTGGCACCTGTGGGGGTTCTATCCCGTTGCCCTGGCCTACCTGTTACACTGCGGTCTGCTTTGGAACATCACCGTCACGCCTGCCATTGTTTTCCACAGCAGGCTTTCCAGGGAGAGAAACCAGCAACGGACACTTCCCATTTTAGCCCCTGTGGTGGATGTACTACCTATAATCTCCACTCTTCCCCACGGGCTAGGGAGCTATTTTTTCTTAATTTTCCATGGATTACTATTTCTGAATTGAAAATCATCAAATGTAGTTTTTAAAATAGGAGTGTGCTTGGGGGATACAAAGAAGAATATGATTAATGGAAAAGAAGATGATTAATCTGGATTGTCTTGAAAGTTTAGAGCACAGGTGTCTGTAGTTATTGTGTCATAATGTGGTATATAATGAAGAGAGAGGTATGCTTCATGGAGGATAAATTAGGTACATTGATCTACAAATCTGCCAGTGAGATTCAAATATTTTTCTAAGACTGTGTGAGTGTATTTCTGTGTGTGTACAGCTTCTGTATGAAGAAGAAAACGGATGCAGAACGAAGATGCCTTGTTTTGATGGTTGCCCAGAGAAACAGTAATCACACACAGATCATTCGGATGTGAACCAGTTCGGTGGGAAGTTAACTCTGCTTGACCCAGACACCCTATTTCCAATTGTTTTAAAGAAGTTTTAACACAAATTCATGAAAGGAAGAATTTAAATTTCTTTAATACATTGTAGTAAACAAAGTGTTAAAATTTCAAACTGTTTTATTTGGTCAGCAGATAGCCTTATAAAATTGAATCATAATCACCCATATCCTTGAATTATCTTCCATGATTTTTGTAATACACTTTGTATACTTATGTATAGTGTGTTAATTCTGCAGAATTTACAGTAACTGTTCTCACATTAAGGAAGTGCTACATATAAAATAACAAATTTGTGTTTGTTAATTCCATAAAATAGTAACTATTATTCACATAAGAAAATTCTTCACTCTTTCTCTTTATTTTAGTGCCATTTAGTTACAGAAATAACACCATATTGTACAAACCCCAACAATATGTACAAAGTACAAAGAGGAGTCTTTTCTCACCTCCTGCCATTCCCAGTATGGTTATTACACATAAAATCTGAAAAACACAGGAAACGAGAGAAAACACGTCATCGCTGGTTTCAGGCTGCAGAGTCACCGTGAACATCTTGTTACGACTGTGTCACGCCTTACGTTTGTGTTTGTAGAACAGCATGTTTGGTAGAATCCGGTTTGGCGTAAACAGTGGACGTGCATGTAGGTGTAATATACGTATACGTAGATGAAAACATATTTTAGGTAAAACTGGATCATGCCAAACGTGCTGTGTGTCACCTGCTTTTTTTAACCTACTTGTTTCATGTTACAATGGGCTTATTTTCATGCTCTTGGATGGAATTGTATTTTAAGTAGGAATGTTTTGTCTCTGAAAAAAGATTTCTTCTTGAAGTTAACCAACCGTCCGTGTTCTTATTTGTAGGAAGAGTGCTTCCTGAACCTGGAGGCCCCTATATCAAGAGTGTGTGGGTACGACACCCCGTTTCCTCACATTTTTGAGCCGTTCTACATCCCAGACAAATGGAAGTGCTACGACGCCCTTCGAAAGATGATCAACTATTGACCCCAAAGGTAAGTCTGCCCTTGTTTTGAGAAAGCTAGCGTGTGTCCCCGACAATAGTGTTTCGTTTACCCAAGGAACAGCGGACTTCAGTGTGTTGTATATTGGTAAATGGCAACTTCCAGGTGAAAATGGGTATTTTAGGGGAAAAAAAACCTTACATTTATAGTAAATTTGCATTTAATAGAAACACAGTAAGCATATGTCTTCTGTGCTCTCTCTAAAGTAGGTGCATGCATTTGTTAACATTGAATAATCATTAGATCAGGATGTTTTCTGCTATGGGTTCATTGTAAATACCCCTTACTTCATTGCTCCAGCTTTTGCTCTTATTTCTGTGTATTTTTATCAGCTATTTAAAATCTTCACAAATAGAGGTAACTTTATTTATTTAAAAATGGCCCTTTGATTTGGGCTCCAGTGATTTTGACAACGATTCATTCATAGTATTCTGAAATTTTCCTTTGTGTTATCTGAAAAAGTAGGTTTGTTGAACAGGAAACCTATTCATTATGTATAAAGGAAATTTTTACTTAGAAAAACCTAAAAGATCCAGCACCACCACTTCAAGAATCTTTTTGGCAAGTGAATGTTTTTAAATGGTGGGTAATAAATGACCTGTATTCATTACGGTTTTCCAAGTCGGGCTCACATGCCTCTTCAGCAGGGTTAGTCTAGTGACAACAGACAGCGCTACCCACTGCTGAGTCAGTGTGAAGGTGCCATGCTCCGGAAGTTGCTGTCATGGCACACTTTGTCTTTCACATTTTTGAGATGATTTAAAATGCATAGATAGGAATTAAATGCCATGTAATAATACAGCCCATCCCTTTTAAAGGTAATAAATACCATATTTGAATGTGGGAGGTGGGGAGTGGGTAGGGCAGAGAGAATAATGGGGAGGAAATGGGGACAACTGTAATTGAACAATAATAAAAAAATTAAAAAAAGAAATACTATATTCCTTTATTCTGTGAATGGATAGTAAAGCTAGCTCACCTAAAACCAGAGAGAACCTTTCATTTTGTGCAGAGAAAATAATGCTGCCTCCTGCCCCTCTGATCTCCTCACCATGTGTTCTGTAGTTCTGTTCTGAGAATACTGGTAAGGCCGTTAGCCACACACCCCCGGTATTCTCTCTGACAGGGAGAGGTGGGTGCTTGGTTTCCGATGTCCTCTCAGTGTCGGTGAGAGCAGTCGGCCTCTACAGTAAAGTCACACTCGAGACTGGTTAGGGACCTTCCTCATGTTGTTGTCCATCCTCTTCCCTCCCCTGGACCATCATAATGGAAAGTCAGAACAAGGACATGCAGACATATGGCTTGTCGCTACTTTGAAAGTAGTGTTTAGGTGCTGGTTTTACCTTTGGAAATGTATTTTTTTTTAACAAAGAGAAAATTGAGCCTATTGTGAGAATATGGTGAAAGATGCAAGGTGTTCTATACCCAAAGTTAAAATGACATTGAAGAATGTAGTCATACAATTAAGAAAAATCTGTATTCAATTCACAGTGGCCAGAATGTCTATAATTATTGTTGATTTCTTTTACAGAAAACCTGGAAGATCATGACTAGATATGGAAATATTTTTCTGAATTTTTATATTGTCTCAGATTTATCTCTTCTTGAAAATAAGAGTTTTTATGAAATGAATTATGGATATTGGCTGAAAATTATAAGTTAGTTATTATTGTATTAACACACATGAATTGGTTTCCATTAGAGTGTTTTAGATTAACTTTTGAAAGTGTTCCATATGATGGTCTTATAAACTCCATTTAATTACATCTGTAAATATTGGGTGTGGGTAGTACTCAATAAAGCTAAGTCATACTGTCTTCTGGTTGTGTGTCTTTTTTTCATTAGTAAAAAGAATTTGTATTGCAGATGAAGGGAACATGAATCCCGCCACCCCGAAGCTGCTCTTTTGAGATACCAATTTTAAGCTGTTTCTTAAGAAATGAGACTCAGCGGGGGAGCTTTGACTCCCCCCCCCCAACCCCCTGCCTCTTGCGCAAGGGATTCAGAGAAACCTGCTTTAGGAAGATCTTGGGATGTTCGCCTTAACCAAACTTGAGTTAATATGACAAACAAGAGCATGTCATGCAGGTGCCTGTCACCGAGACACCTCTTTTGTCCCCTTGTTGCCTCACTGTCTTTGTCATTTTTGTGCTTATGTATTAAATGCACATGCACACCTATTAAAACTTTGATTTTTCTCCTGTTAATCTGTTTCTGTTAATTTGATTATTAGCACAGCCAGAAGAACTTTAGAAGGTGGGAAAAAAGTATTAATATTTTTTAGCCCCCTCACCCCAGACTAATTGTCAACTTGTTCATTAGATCTAAGTAAAATGAAATGCTGAGAAATGCTGAATTTTCAACTTTATTGTAGTTGGTTTAGTTCTTTATGGCTGAGATGGTTGGTTGTATGTTGATAAAAGTTCTGGAATGTTTTTCCTGATTCTCCCCTCTTGCCTCAGCTGGGTCAGTGTAAAGGTGCCATGCTTCAGAAGGACATACTCATTTTTTCCCAGAATGGGGTGGCAGGATCAAACTTGCTGCCTGTCTTCGTGGAGAGCATGGGCTTGTCTTTAGTTATAAAGGTGCCAAGCTTTTGTTGTAGTTGGTTTTTTTGCCATGATGTTACAAAGCAAATATTTTGTTCCTATGCTCTTCATGTTATTATGTAGCTAAAAAGAAAAACATTAGCAGCAACAAAAGGCTCAAACAGAAAGAAGCCTCCTTGTTGGGGAAGTTGCCAGGGACTCTTGTTTCTTACTTTGCCCCTTCAGCCCTTCACCACAGTTTCAGACAGGCGCGCCCTGCCGAGAGGAGTCCCTGTGCTGAACCCCAGCCCGGGCCCTGCCTGCAGGTCGGCGGGTGCTGTTACATCCGTCTCACTCCCATGGACCCAGAAGAGTTTCTGCTCAGGTCCAGCCCCCACCACCACGCTCCACTGCTAGAAAGCAGAGGAACAGGACCCTAGAGTATTTTTCTTTCTCTGTAAATACTGTAAAAAATGGACATTTTCTAAAGATTACAAACGGACATTTTCTAAAGATAACATTTCTTGTTACATTAAAACTATGATTGAAAATGCTGTCCTGTTTATTTTTATCAGGTATTCGGGGGAGGATGCAGAAGGTAACACTTGTAGATTGCCAGGAACGGGGAGGTGAAGGACAGGCACTTAATCACAGATTCTGGACAGCAGTGGGCTGAAATGGAGAACCAGAGCGTTCGTTAGGAGTGAAAATAGAGCCGCTGTGTCCTTGGTTTACAAATAGAAGCACCTGTAATGTACGATGGGAAAAGATTATTTGTCAGCCACAAGTTTGGGAAGGATTTCAGGAATCCACCTGGCTGACGGTACAGGACTTTCTGAGTTTAATTCGCTAAAACTCAGGATGGACTTTGGCTGTGGCCTTCATTCTCCACCAGAGGCCCCAGACATCCTTGCCAGGAGCTGGGCGCTCACGTGGTCCGTGCAGCAGAGCGCGGAGCGTGCGCAGTCAACCACACAACCACATCTGGGCCCACAGTGGGTTGTTTTAGAGCGTGTTTGTTTTAGTTGAACATATTTTTTAGCTGCTATTATTTATTATTTTAGTTGAAGTTACTTATTTTAAGTTATATTGCCATTGGTAATTTTTTAGTACTGTTTTTTTCTACTCATTTTGGTATTGTAAAATTTTCCCATAGCTATTTTAATTTTATTTTAACTTTCTTTTTTTGAAATAGCAAGCACGAGGACAGCTATGGGGATAATCTCGGCATGGGTTGCCGCAGTGTGAGAGCGTTTCTCTCCCTCCGGTTAACCCTGCCGTCCCCATCAGCAAATACGTCGTTCCCTTCCAGAGTAAGTGGCTTACAGCTGATCCTAAACTCAGTCATAGCACTAGATGCACATACATACCTAAGTAATTGTCTTCAATACACTGATTCACTTGAAACAAATGTATATAGTGGAAATAAGAAAATAGTGATGAAAAGACACGTAAGGAATGTTAAATGAACACCAAAGTCGAAATTCCCCAGTACTCAGCCTCAGCATAAGTCTGCTCCCTGTGACAACATGGATGTATAAGTGAATGTCATCTTCTGTACTTTAAATTATGTAACTGATAGATATTATCCAAGCTGAGTAAACAGACCTGTATACATTAGAGAAAGAAATGAGGCCGAGGGTCCAGAAATGACCTCAATCCAATCCGTTAGGTTTAAATCGCATAATCCACAAACTCTAGGTGAGAATCCCGTAGACATCCCGTTCGATTTAGTGAACTCCCTTTCCCATCAGCCTGCCTGTGGTGGCCATGTGTGGTTTCTGGCTGCCGGGCACCCCTCCCCCCACCTTCTAGTCACGGCGCTGCTGCTTGTTTAGAGAACCCCCTCGCCCCACCACATGTGGCTCTGCAGCGGCTGCCAATCCCAGGGCCGACCAGCACCAGCCACAGACATGGCCCAGGCCCAGGCCCAGGCCCTGCCGGGGACCTCAGAACAGAAGGTCGCGTTGCTGGTGCAGGAACAGAAGGTGACCTCAGCCTTGTTAACCACACTAAGTTTGAAAAGACTGGTTCTCTAATTTTTACCTGTTCAAAGCACACCTGAGAATACAACTGATAGGTGTTAACCAGTCAGTCCCGCAACAGTAGCGTTAGCAGAAATCCTTGGCGGTCAGGAACAGGACCCCAAAGCTGACGTGTCGGAATTTCCAGAGAGACGTGAGGTTTGGAGACTCTGATAGGTTTCCCCAGACGATCTAGTTTGGAAAGAAGTAGAAAATACTCATATATGGGCAAGATTTAGAAACCCTGGAATAGGATATCTTCCCGAATATAGTAATTAAAGATATCTGCCAGGAAAGTGAGAAATAAAATTAGAACAAGGAGGAGGAAATCACAGCTGGAATGGATCAGAGGTAAATGTGGAATAAAAAGGTATTTCTAAATAATTGCCTTAAATATATATTTTTTTGAAAACTAGTGTTCCTCATTTCACAAAGGAATGTATCACAGTTAAATTATTTATGTTGTAAATGTGTATTATTAAAATATAAGCACAAACTTATAAATACAGAAGATATGTGCAGAACAGCTATACAAGGCTTTATCACTCTGCTTTCAATTTGATACATGAAGTAGACAATCATAAGTAATAGGATGAGGTCAATAGAAATGTATTTTAAACTTTGTGCCTCCATAAACAGAATAATCACCTTTTAAAATAAGCACAAGAAGTTAAAAAATCAATTGTATACTAAGGCACACAAAAAATAACAGTAAACCCCTCAAAGAGTATTAAAAGGCATCATGTTTTCTGACCACATCCCAGATTAATGACAACTATTCCAACTACTTTGAAACAAAAAAAGCACCCAGCTTAGTAACTGTGGGACCAAGGAGGAAATGGAAAATAGTTACAAAACATTTAGAACATAAGATCACCCGTGTGCTTCTGCCAGGGTTTTACTCAGAGGTAAATTCATAGACTTTGACTTTAAATCTTGGAAAAAGGAAAACTGAAAACACAAGAATGTAAAGAGGAAGAAGCACAAAAAGAAAGAAAAAATAATAGTTAAAAGTAGGAGGTTCCAAATGAGAAAAACTGTAACATGGAAGTCATTTTTTAAAATAAATCCAAAAGTGTTCCTTTTATAGCGTTTGTGTCCTGTGAGGATGCAGCTATGTTTTTATGTAGTCCTGATACCAGTGCATAAAGGCCACAGAATGGCTGTGCCTACATCGCCTAATACCATTAAATCCTTTGTTTGAGGGGAGGGAACTATTTAGCAAAGCCTAGTCATTTACCACAAGTACCGATAAGCAAAGGTCTTCGTTGTTAGGATAACTTTATTTCATCATTTTAAGAAAATAATTATCAAGGTTTTATTTTCCTAAAAATTCTTTAGTTTTTTTGTGAGGCTTACTTGGCTACTTCTAAGGGTTTTGGGTTTTTTTTTAAGATTTTATTTATTTTTAGAAGAAAAGGGAGGAAGACAGGGAAAGAAACATCAATGTGTGGTTGTCTCTTGTACATCCCCTGCTGGGGACCCGGCCCACAACCCAGGCCTGTGTCCTGACTGGGAATCAAACCAGCAACTCTTTGATTCCCAGGTTGGCACTCAATTCACTGAGCCACACCAGCCAGGACTAAATTTTTTATTTACTATGAATTTTCATTAAAACGTGGTGACTATAAAGAATTAGAATAGCCCTGGGTGCTGTAGCTCAGTGGATTGAGCGCAGGCCTGCGAACCAAAGGCTTGTGGTTCCATTCCCAGTCAGGGCACATGCCTGGGTTGCAGGCCACTTCCCAGTAGGGGACCCACCAGAGGCAACCATACATTGATATTTCTCTCCCTCTCTCCTTCCCTTCCACTCTAAAGATAAATAAAATCTTAATTAAAAAGAATTAGAATATGACACCTACTTATTGTCCTGAAACTGTTTTTTCTTCATGCACAATATTGTACTGGTTCCAAAGCTGCAGGGAGCTTTGGCCTGTTTCTCTGCCATTCTGCAGAGCCTGCAGTGGTGCCTGGTGCACACGGGCTTTCTTTATGTCGCTGAACAGACATGAAAAGAAGTGCTGGCCTGTACTTGAACCAGACCCTGCACCAGAAACGCACTTAGGTAGAGCCCACTTTGTACATATTTAAAGTGATATTTTGATAATAATGGATATCAAGAACAGGAAACAGACATTTGTGTAGGACTAGACCCCAAGGGTTCCCAAGAGATGAGAATTGTTTCTGTATTTTTTTTCCTGTTTCTTCAAATCGATTTCAAAACCACGTATTTTTAAGTGGCTTTGTGACAATCTTGTACATT